AGAGACAAGCAAGCAGATAACAAAAGAACATTGTTGTCTTCTCAAAAATCAAAGTTTAAAAGAGAAAAAGAAAACAAGGCAATGGAAATTGTTAGGAACAACCAGGGAGATAGGTCTAAAAACATTACCATGTTACAGGTAGATTAAGCAGGGAAAAGCACACGCATACACAGAACAAAGTGGAAGGGGAAGACCACGGTGCTGTGCTGATTTATGAAATGGTACTAAATCTGAGCACTGAGCAGGCTGATGCACAACAAAAACAAACTAAAAAAAAAAAACACACTAACTCTTACAACAAATCTCTAGTGGATACCAGGATATCAAATGGAAGGCAATAATCAAACCCCAATTACACTCGACCACATTCTTCTCCCCAGAGTCCCTGTCCTATCCCCTTCCAGTTTAACAGAAACCTGGTCTGCAAAAAGTTTGAGCCACTACCTTCCCAAAGGAGTGCCTGAATCATTTTTTTAAGATCTGTTTTGCAGCCTCTGTTGTAGCAGCTCCCCTAAAGCAAAAATATCCAGCATACCAACCGCCTCCCCCAGACCAGCTCCTCGGTCCGATGCCTTGAAGGACGAAGTGCCACAAGCGTATGATTAAGGCACAGCCTGGCAAGGCCAAAGAAAACAGGTATGCCACAAAGTGCAAACCCACAGACTGTGCCACTGAGATCTATCATTTTACGAGCAGTTGCAATATCCTCCAGTTCAGCGCTGACCAAATATGCAGCAATGGCTAGGCAATGTCATCCCCCAGCCCTGGTCTAGACCCTTTATTTGAAAGCAGCTTTGAGGGATTTGTTGCTTCTGTATCATTTTAAACAACAAACAAACTCAAAGTTTAACATTCCTTGAATTCATATCCTAATACACACCTTATTTAAATCAGTTCACTTTTGTTTATTCCAGAAATAAGCACCTCCTGATACGTGTGATACAGTATTAAAAAAATGTGCCAGTGTTAAAAGCAACTTCAGTACACCTCATTAAAAATGATAAACAAGTAGAAACAAGTAGTGGCTAGCAGAACAAATATTTGGCACAAATCTATTGCCCATTAGGAGATACAGCCAGGAATCCTTACTTACATTCCTCAGCTGTTTTTTTCCAGAGATGTGACTGCCACGGGCAAGTCGCTCAGGCTCAGTGCCCCAAGTACACTTCCATACCTAACCCACGCTGGAACCAATGTGTCACATTTCATTCATCCATAAGGTGACTTTGTATTTGTTACAATTTTGTGATATGCTACAGAATGTACTTGAATCATGCTCTTAAATACTTTGAAGCCAAAACAACATTCTGCTACAGCAATTAGTACTGTGAGTTAGCAGCTACTTTGACTTCAGTTTAAAATATCAGTACACTAACAATTTAAAAGTTTTGTTCTTCAGATGTACCCATACGGTTCTTGAAACATACTATTTTCATAATTATCTAAATTCAAAGCCTGTCAACATTAGGTCTCTAAAAAAGGAAGGTGTTTTCTGTCAAAAGAAAGATGCATTTAAGAGAAAGACCTAAATTTGTTTTAATACACTCTCAATGCATATGCATCACCTGCTCAGTGAATACCATCTCCAGAGAAGAAACAAGTCAATTATACATGTGATCCGAGGTCTGCAAAGCTGCTGGTGGAGTAAAACTGTTCATCCCAGTGACAGCTGTGGGCCACAATCCCCTATGGCAGCCTTTGAAAAATCTCAGCTTTACAGAGAACGAGAATTTTGCTGCCAATTGATCTGCAAAGTGTCCTGGATACTCGTAAATTTGTAATGTGCCTGTAACACTGTATAGCTGAGACAGATGATGCTGAAAGCACTGCAGAACTCAGAAGAAAATAATATGTATTGAGGATACAAAGTACCTGCTCGTGGACCTACAACTATGCGTTTTCTAGGTTAATTCCTTCCTATTTACTAAATACACTACAAAAAACCTGGTGGAGCCCAGTGGCAGGTTTGCTGTGTGTACTGCACCTCTTTCTCTGTCAGTCACTCGGTGTTATGATACACTGCATGTAAAGGCTTGAACTGCAGATAGAATTAACTAAATGAAAAGATGCATAGCAAAAGGCTGGGAGAGGGATGATACTACACATGCCACAGAGCACGTCTCAGCAGAGCTGTGAGCAGCTGGCAGTGCCAGGCTGATGGCCCTTGAGTCAAGGTAAGGGGAACAGCCGAGATAACCCTGGGCATTTGTAAAGGAAGCAGGCTGTTTAGGAAAAACACTTTGTTTTCCCATGCAGCTGAGGGGACTCGGTGCCATTCTGAGTGACAGGAAGATGGTTCGAGTAGCGATCGCTAGGGCAAGAGCTGTCTCTAAGAGATGCACTCCATTAAGCTGTGACCTATGCTATGAATATTGTACTGCCCTAATTTTCACACAGGAAAACCAGCCGGGAGGTCAAAGGAAGTAATGGATTCAGCGTGCAACCTAAGCCCACAAGCGTCTCCACGTTCTCAGAAAATAAACTAGCCAAAGCTCTGCTGAGAATCACCAAACTAAGAAAACAAACAAGTCCAACCCCCCAAAATGAAAAGCTCTGAAAGGTTCGCCACTCTCCCCATACACACAGCCTCATTTGCACTCTCACTGAAGCCCTTTAAGTTATTTCAGAAAAAGCCCAGAATGAGGAAAAGGTGAGAGACTATACTGTTTAATACACCACCTCGGTACTGAAGGAGAGACAGGCAGAATTAAAAATTCATTATGAAGGAGAGAAGATGTTAGGATTTTTTAGTGAGTGCACTTACTGAACCATCTTGAAGAGCTTTTTTTTCCCCTTTCTTTTTTAACATTGTCCTGTTAAAAAAGAGATTACTTTAACAGATGTTGTAAAACAGAACTGACTGATTTTATGAGGTGGATAAAGAACTGACTTTTCACTCCCCATTCCTAGATTGTTTAATATTCTGAGCAAGTTACTCTCTGGACCTTATAAAATATCAGATCAGGAATCCACCATAGCTGTACATCAAACTGCAGCCTCTCTGGCATATCTACACAAATGCATTCCCCACATTACCAGGTACTGAAACTGCCTGCTGCTTCCCATTGCAATATCTGGTTTCTCCTGAATTTGAACTCTCTGAACAACAACCTTATCCTTTCCTGTAGTACCTACTTTTAATCGCTTCCTTTTAGGAAGTCAAACAATTTAGAGCAGGGAACTGCCATATTCATATACAGAGGATCCAAATCCAGGGCAAGCAGAACAACTGCTAAATTAATTTAGAGACACTTGAACTGGGAGGTGGAGAAACAACAGTTATGGTGACATAAATCTGATGGCTTCGTGCCCATGTTTCAAAACATGATGGCAATTATTTGTCACTAAAACCACACCTCAAGCAGAAAACAAAATGTGTCTCCTCTCAGCTCTGCAAAGAGGGTTATTATAGTCTACTGATCCCCTCCTCCTGCTTATTAAACAGGTAACCTGTTGTAATAAATGAGTTTAGCTAGCCTACATGCCTTAAAGATACCCTCAAGAAAAGGCTTGTATTCACCTCTACATAATTCGTGTGACATCTGGTTATGGTTTTCTCCTTTTCTCTTTTCCCTGCTGAAGAACCCAAGCCCTGACGGTGGAGTATTGCCACCCAAGCCAAGCGGAAACTGTGATCCAAAGCGGTGAAGTGTTTCAGAGGGCTCAGTGCTGTAGAAAAAAAGAAACTAGAAACTAAGTCTCAACTTAAGGATCCCAAATCAGTGGAATCCAGTCTCTCTGCCTTTGGTCTCCACCTGTAGTACCAGAGTTACACCAACTTCTTCTCCTGCTGAATCAGCCTGAAAATAATTTAATGTTGGATGGATGAGGTAATGAATCATTCTGTCTTGAGGCAAGGCTTTGATTAGCTCCCACATGCAGACAACAAGACTTCATCCTAAAATGCAAAACTATCAGGATCAAGCCATGTTTCGAAGGCAATCACAGACACTAAGGAGCAAGCAGGAGCAGAAGACAACTGTGGCCACATCGCTGTTGCTTTTGGGTAAGCAACAGGCACACCATGGAGATTCCCTCCCCTCCACTTACTGTCTGCTCAAGCTGCCAGCTCCCACTTTGCAGGAGAAGGAAGGGGTCTTCAGCAAAGGGAGCGAAGCTGTGAGATACCCTCAGGAGACAACCTACCAAGGGCTTCCTAAAAGGCGCTCCGCAGAGCCACCTCATGCCGGCAGGCACCAGAAGGCCTGAACAGGAAGGCAGCAGGTCCACTTATGCCCAGTTGTGCTACAGGGATGAGGAGAAGCGGTCGGCTAATTGTTATTTTGATTACGGCAGGCAGCCCCGGCGCAGCACGGGTTGCTTAGCAACATTTCTCAGCCCTCATGGAGAGCCAGCATCCATTTCCATTTCGGAGGCAGCCTCAAGGAGCAACAAAACGCCAGCGCGGGCGGTCGGGGGAGAAGGCCGCGGCTCCTCCACTCTGCCTCGCAGGAGAAGGCTGACATCCCATGTCCCAGTTCTCCACCATGGGGACAAATGGAGATGTTTCTCCTCTAAACAAGCCAGTTGTGCTTACGAGGTCATCTCTAGCTAAAGCTGTACCAAAATCACGAGTGAGCCTTACAGGATGCGTATGGTAATCAACATTTAGCTCAGATGCATTAGAGAAAAAGGATCAATCTTGCCAATTAGCAACCAGCAGATTAAGTGAGACTTTTATCAGTAAACAGCCTGCCTGCCTTGGAAAACAGTTACGTAAAAACGGCCTAACAAAATAACATTGTGTACATTGGGGAAAAGCAGTCCCGAGGCCTGAGCTCAGGCCACTCACAAGACACAAGGAGCACATGAACAAGGAGCAGCCAGCACACAAAACAAAGCAGCACGAAACACTTGTGGAGCACGATCTGCGTTGCTGAGGCGACACACGTTGCACATCTGCTCCCCAAAAGCACAAGGAAGACCAAACAATGACAGCAGCTTATGGACATTTTAAGTGAGCACTGAAAGGGTTTTAAGGAAAAACGCATCGTGCATACCCTCCTCTTCTGTGGCGCTGCTTGTGCTTGGAGATTTTGTATGGCAGAGCCCTTTCTCCCAGGTTTTCGAGGTTCCTCACAACAGCTCCATTCTCCATGAGAGCCTCAACAGTGCGCTTCAGCACAGCTGCGGTCTCAGGCTTGAAAAGAAAAAAAAAAAGAGAAAGCAGGAAATGTACACAAATCTGGTTATTCTGATTATGCGATTACAATCAACGCATGCACTTGCATGGCTAAGTGCTGGAAGGGAGCGTGTAGTAACCTGAGATGGCAAAATGGAAGCACTTGCTCCCAAGGAAAACATCTATTTAATTTATTATTATTATTTTTTAAACAACAAACAGCTGACAAACAGCCAATTCCTCTGTGACTTATGGCAATAGCAAAGTTTCCACTGATTTCAGAGGCAGGCCCCAACAACAAACAGGAAAAAGGACATAGTTAATGGCTTTAACTCACCTGGTATCACCTTGGCTCACCCTTGCACAGGTATGAGTAAATACACTTGGCAAAGAGCAATTTAAGGTCCCTGGAGCATTGATGCTAATTAATATTGTTCACCACAGCATTTAAAGTGAGGAGTTTGGGGGGTACACCAATCTGTGGCTTGCTAAGGGGACAATAATCAGCACCACGTTCATTTGGCATTGTTATTTCTACTGCACATGCTTTATAGGTATTTGGACACTTGGTTAAGTCACTGCACCTCTCCTTGCTTTTGCACAGCTGACATACGAGCCTTTTTAAGAGTTAAAGAACTGACATGCAGTAATTAGACTAACACGCAGAGATTTCACTCCTCAGAAAAACAAGTTTGAGGGACAGGCAGCCAAAAAGCAGTAGGTAAAGCAGATGAAATATTTTCTTGCTTATTGCATAACAGAGCTCTAAAGCGCCGAATCGTTTCTGTAATAACACTCAATAATATCTATGAAAAATATTAATAAAGTATAAATTAGACTGTTTTGAAAACAACTACAAACTTGGCATACACTCTCAGTGACAAGAAGCATTTTAAGAAACAGATATCCTACAAAGAAAGTAAAATAAATGGATATCCTACTAAACAAAAACTGCACAGCTTCCTTCTCTGCTCCCTGCAACAATTCACATCAACATATACTCCCAAGTCTACTGTTTGGGAAGATGGTAATCACTGTAAATGAAAAAGTAATGAAAGAGATGATTTTCTGAGTAGTTTGTATTTTGTGAAATCACATCACCATAATAATTTCACTGTCTTTTCTCAGCCAGGAGAAAACTTGTGTAATCTTTCAATCATTTCATGAATATGACGACTGAAAGTTAGTCTCCCAAGTCTAAAGGAGAGATGTACACCTAACAGTTGTTTAATGCCCCAGTCCCTTAATGGAAATTCATAAGAAAGGTGGTACTAGAACCTCACTATATGCAGGCATGTAGAATTTCTTTCTTTTTGCTGAAAATGCAAGGTGATATGAAAGAGCCTCCAGATGCAGAGCAAAGATGTTTGGCATATTACATGCTGCAACGTTGACTGCTCTTTGAGAGACCCGACGCACAGATGGTCTGAAATGATTCCTTACCTCCATGAGTTAATTGCCGTGTGACAGTCAAGAGTCTGCACCTAACTGCTCCTATCAATCAGAAATTTTATTTCCCCCTCACCAGCTAGATGAACTGTTTGGGAAATTTATTTTCAACACAAAGAGCCTCAACAGTTATGAGGTCAGCAAAAACGCCTGGGATTTTTTTTTCCCGATGTATATTTAGGTTGTGTTGTAAAACCATCACAGCGACCAGAGGTTTACGTTTGAACTACCTCGCCAAAGTTTGAAGCATTAAACCTATTGTTTCTCACAACAGAGAAATACTAAAGCATCTCTTGTCACAGCATGAAAAAATACGATGAAGGCATTATTAAGAGAGTTTTGGATTACACTATATTACTTTAAATCACTCTTTAGCTCAAAAACAGGAATAACATTATTTTTCAGTTGGCTTCATGTGGTTGCCTCCATCAGTACTCATTAAATTTCCAAGTAAGCGCCTCTCATGCTTCGGACCTCCTTCCCCAAATGGAGAACTCTCTTGGTTTCCCTACAACTCTTTTTGCCCTCTTGCCACAAAGCAAGCTGTTCCCACAAATGTTACAGGTGTCTGAATTTGACTTCAGCTCCTCCTTCAAGCTTATCTGGAACAAAACCAGGGTGTTCAAAACTTACCGAGGAGAGACTGACAGATGGATAGGTAGACCACAACTATACAGGCCTCACTTTGCTAGAAAAATAGATCAAAAAATTCTGTGAAGTTATGTAGGCATTTACACATTGATGCTGCTGACCAACAGCTGATGGTGACCACATTAATACTTTCTCTTCCTCCTTTAAATCTCCCTCATCTCTCAAACCCTGCTGCTTACTACAACACTACGTTCAAATACCAAAGTATCCCACCAAAACAAGCATTATCCTCCAAGACTGGATTCTTAGTCTTCTCTATGTGCTTATATTTTGCATCGTTTTCCATCCCCTGTACATCTGACAACTACCACCAAGCAGTCACACACACAGATCTCTCTCTCTCTCCGCAAGCCCTAGAAGGACAAACAAATACTATCAGAGAAGAATTGGGAAGCAACAGCTGCAGGATGTTACTACCTCATTACTTTGAATTACTTTGAACTCAAGAACTAGGAAGGAAGGGTCACTGTGACACCTGTTGGCTGACAGGACTGAAAGTGAGGAACAGAATTCTAAAAGGTTTTGGTTTTGTTTATTTTTAATTTTAATTTAATATACTAAATTCCACAATAGGAACGTTCTTAAAAATAAGATCAGAATCTTGCTAATGAGGTACAGAGCCTGCCAGAGACACAGCTTTCAAGGTCTGTTCTACCCCTCCCTGTGTTACCGTGGCATATTAGTAACCAAAAGCTGCAGAAGCTTACCCAACTAAGATTCTCTCTGAAGGTATTTATTTGAAACAGAAGAGAGTAACAAGGGCCAGTAACATGGTTTTTTTTTTTTGAATGCTGGATATCTTCCTTAATATTTTCCTTATTTTAAGAGTCCTTAGTAGTAGAAGACTATGTTTAAGTCATGCCCTCTGGAAAGCCAAGTAGATCAAGCAGCGTTTTCATAGTATCTTCAACAACGGCCATAAACCAAAAATCTCTTACTTTCCACCACACCCATCTTTTGTTTTACCACAGCAGAAAGTGTTTGTTACGATTTCTGCTATTGCAGAAACATCAATGACAGCTAGAGAAAGGTAAGAGCTTTGCTTTACTTGACCCCATTCTCCACAAATGCTGTAAGAAAGGGGTAAGAGTAGAGCTGAGGCTCCTCTCAAGCCTTTCCCCAGGAAGAACTGTTTTTCCAAGTTCCTTATATGCCTCTTTTGGCTCACCTTACAGGACACAAAGGTGTGAGAAGCTGGTGCAAACTCTGGACACGTTTTTATGCTGCTTCTATCAATACACACCTCAGTACTCTTGCTTGTAACAGCTTCATGCTCTAAGAACCATACTAGAAACCTGTTTTCAAGAAAGAAGGGAAAAAACAAGAACTGCTGCCTTTGTGAAACAAGCACCGATGCAAATATTACTTCCTAGAAGGTTCTGACTTCAAAACGAGAATCTGACACTGACCATTAGGGTTTTACTTACCCATATTACAATGAAAAAAGCAGTTTTAGGAGAGAAAGGGCAGCTTATCTAATAGCTTTAGTATTTTGTGCACTACAGCACACCTGTAGAGCTTCCAGCACTAGGCTGGGAAACATACACTTGGAAAGCAACAGGATCTGCCATTCAACTCTTCTCCTGCTGTGCATGCTTCAGTTGCAGAAGCCTTCGTGGTGCTCAGGCAATTATCACAGGAGAAATCTGTCAGGTCAATGAATAAAAATACCGTTAAGTTTACTGTTGCCGCTTGTCTACCACTCAAACAAGAAATGCTGATCCATAAAAAGAGCTCTGGTTGAAAGCAACCATAATTGATTGAGACCTTTACACAAGCAGCTGTACGTCCAGCTGTGGACTTGTTTGACATACCCTGCTATAACAACCGTGCATATTTGAGTTAAACGGTGTTGGATAAGCTTATTCTTCTGCATCCCTCCTACCCTCAAATGACACATAAGCTTTTCGTCTCTTTTATACATGCCAACAGATCAGCACATTCCCTGAGTGGCAGCATGTCCAACATGATGTGCAGTTTCTAAACACAATGAAGCCTAAGACAAAGTCCTATACATTTAAAAACAAAACAAAACAAAAAGAACAAGAAAAGAAAGCCACAGATTTCTACATTCAGGATTGTAAAATATTACGCTTTTTTGCAACCTCCCCATTTGTGGAAGTACTTTGAAAACATAAACTGTTGGTTTTGAAAGCTTGTCACTGTAATCCCTCTCATTCCTCCTCTCCAAAAAAGATCATGGTTTATCATAGCTTGCCTAAAGCCATCAACCAAACTATATATAGGCTAGCCTTTGCTAACCATAATATCCACAGACACAGGTTCCTTGGTTTGCCTCAGAGCCAGACCAGCTGAGGACATAGGAAATGGTATTGCCTGGCTCCCAACCCAGGAGCCACAACATTTTTTTCCTGAACAGCCAGCAGCAATTCCAGTACCACAGATATGGGGAAACAAGGGGGGGAAAGGAAAAAAAAAAAAATGGAAAAAAAGGCAGGAGAAAATGGCAGTTGGTGCCAGAATACCCATGTTGGAGAGCAGGAAGTGCTAGAAAGAGTGTGTAAACCTTGGTATGTAATTCTAGCTCTTGTTTGCCCTCCTGGGTGCATAATCAAGCCCTTTCGAATGGGTTCATCCTTAGTGAACTTGATGAACTTCGTTAGTGAACTCAGTTCCCCATTGTTTGGTCATGAGTGAGTTACCTTATTCTCAGAGGTACAGATCTACTGAGCCTACCAAAGCTGTGAAAGGAAGACAGGGGAAGTCGCTGCGGACTTTCCAAGTGCATTTACTTGGAAAACTGCCCCTGGAAAACATAACTGAAGGACAATTATCCATGGATCAACCTTCCTCACCCCTCTGCCCAGCACTTTTTAAACTCAGAGCGGCCCAGAGCAAACGTGTCAACTAGCAAGTCAAGCCTGTAGCTGGCTGACCAAGCAAAAACAGCAGAGGCACGTTACAAAAGACACTTTCTGTGTAGGGTTGGCTGTCTCCAGAGATGAGGAATGCTGTGGCCACACTTACCAGGGTGAACCTGGTGCTGCTGCTGCCAAGGCCACAAGATCAGCGGGCATCTTTCCACAAATAATCCAGCTAAGTTTACTTGAAACGCTGCTATTCCCGTGGGCCCAGAGGCTATGCACAGCCCCATATATCACAGAAACCACAACCGCATACCATTCCCTAGGCATTTCCCCATACCTACAGCTTGTCCCTTTCTCCTCACCAGTCTTTCTTCTGTCCAGTCACAGGGGGCAGGCTGTAAGATCAAGTGCCTGATGGTAAATCCCCATAGCACAAGACGGCATCACACCATACAAATGGGCCAACCTGGCTCTGGAAGGCATTTGGTCATATTCATACAGCATTACCACCATCACCACCACCTGCCAAAGCAAAATGCCTCTATGCAAACCCGTGCTGACTGATGCCCAAGTCAATGAGGCCTGTCTACACTGCACCCCTTCTTCCATGCAACCCAAAGCCACCCCATAGCAAAGGTTGGTTTGGGTAGATCTTCAGCTGTATGGTATGTCCTTTGTGGCTCTTTACAGTGTATCATAAATGTCACGAGGAAACAAAAAGCTATTTAATGCACAGACTTCTTCAGGATCTCAAGCGATTGCAAAAATGGGAACAGGTGGGGGGCACCCAGCCAATTGTCACCCAAGAGCAAAGCCGCAAACGCACAGCAATAACCAATGAGTACCAAAACACAGCTCCAACAACCTCTTTGTGAAGAGAAGTTGTTATACACCACCAGAAGGAGTAAAAACTATAGTACAGTTTCTAGCAGTTGTAAAGAACTCACGTAGCGACCAGCAAGTAAAAAAATAAAATAAAGGCAATATACTGATGGCAAAGTATCTTTTGCTCTACTGGAGACCAAATGAAGATGAGCTCATCAGCTATGAAGCTACCAGAAGCATTGCTGAGAAAGACCAGAAAATTGGTAAAAGCATGAAATAAAGCTTTTGTAATGCTGATGTCTCCTAAAAACCAAGGAGCCACCCGCTCAATCCTAAAGGAAAGGACAACTCTGTGGCTGTAATTAGAGCCACCTAAAAAGATCGCACCACTGCTCCATGTCCCACCTAGTGAGCTGGCCAGAGGGAGCTCGAGAGACGATGTCAGAAGGATAGAAATAAACAGAACTGGCTAAAAAAGAAGCTTTCTCAAGCCACCAGGGTTCTCCTCCTAAAAGAGTCTTTCTTCAGAGGTAGAACAGGAAACAGACACCAAAGGCCTAGTTTTAGGGTCAGTTAGGACTATACTCACGTCCTTCTGACTACTCACTCAGTTTATCGACAGCATTTAAAAACCAGTGGGCACACCTCTTCAAAATAACAAACAAAAAGGAATCCAGCAGTCTTCAAATTCCCTTCAGCGTAGTAGTAGTAGCATAAAACTGTGTATTTTTGGTTATTAAACAGTTAAAGTTCTTCTGCGACTACTCATTGAGGCGGAAATTAAAAAATGCAAAAACTATGTTTAAAAACTGCAATTCAAAAGCAGTAAAACTGGAAAACACGTCCATATCATTACTGAATACGTAATTAAATACTAAAAACTTATTAGCGAAAATGATAAAAACACATACGTTTGTGAACTTGCCAAGATCAACAAGAAAGAAAGATGATGAACTTTACAATGAGGAACAAGGGGAAGCTGGAGAGTCATTCAACTCTCGCACCCTCTCTTAGTACACAACAAGAGGCAGCAGACAGATGAAAAACCAATCAGCAGGTTGAGAATGGACAGCAAAGAACAAAATAGTGCTAATATTAGCAAAAAACGTACCGGGCATACAAGCCAACTCATGACAGGTTAGTTCTTTATCTGCTTAGGGATCAAACTTGAAGTCCCGGTGCAAGATGCAAAGCTGCAATTACCGTAAAAGCATAAACAACACGGAGCAGCAGCAGTGAGTAGAACACAACCATGGAAGGACACGTACTAGTCAGAAAAGATCAAAGTGGTAGATCAAGTGAACAGAAAGTGTGCTAGCCCTGCTGCACCCATCCTAAAAATGACCTGCATGCGACTTCTGAGCATAATAGGCAGAGTCTCTGGAAAGCAAGCAACAAGAACCAGGACTCCAGATACTTCACTGGAAGTTCAGAGCCAGGCAGGGGTGAGGAGGGAACTGTCTAGTGAAAGCTGGGCATAGAGCAGCACTATGTACGAACAGATTTCTCTAACTATGACAGTACGATTTTCCAGATATTGAGTAAGGAACAAATGATGGAACCCAGGTTGATATTTTCACCAAACATTTATTGATCAAGAAGGCATGATACTATTCTAGAAATTGATTTGGAAAACAGTGGCAAGCCTCTAAAGATAAGTTTGGGGGAGTGACCAACATCATCCCTGTCTGAATTAAATGCAGCACTGCATCCCCCCAAAAACAGCTCTCTAATTGCATTTTAATGAAGGGTAAGCCAAGGCATTATCAACTTCACCTGATGCAAATGTGAAGCCCAGGGACCTGGATGCAAAGGAAGCAACTTTTAAAGTCAAAGTGCTGCTAATCTCTCTTCTATCCCCAAATCCACCTTTATTCTTCAAAGAACCTAAATTCCACAATATTTTTAACCCAATGTTTAAGATCAAAGCAAGTTATTAAAGCTACAAAACTGAACTAAAACACAATGAATACAAGTTCCAAATAAAGACCAAGTTTCAGTGAATTTAACACTTTAGTCTCACCACTGAACTTAGCTTACAACTAGTTCATTTTAGAAAGCGTCAACTCTTATAATTTCTAAAAAGAATTCTAGAAGGTGTCTTCTAAGTCTGAACTGAACATCTTGGCCAACTATAATCAAATCCCCAGTGATGCAGGACCATTTCAGTGGTTTATTATTAGAAACATTGAACTTAATAATTGGATACTACTGGAGAGCCATCTTTGTTACAAAGCCACCTAGAAACTTACCCTCTTCCTCTAAATCACAATAAATTACAACACAGACTTCAATCTAATGCTCCTGATCAGCTGAAGTCTACTAACCAGAAAGTACAAGTAAGCCTTGTACTCCATATCTAGAAGTCATGAAGAACATTTCATCAGGTTTATTTTAAATATTCATTAAGCTTAAATAGGCTCAAATGGTAAAAAGAAAAAAAAAGAAAAAAAGAAAAAAAAAAGAAGGAAAAAAGCACATTGGGAGTTATTCCCAAAAGCCTTTTCTCTGTGGTGTTTGAAATGTGCATGTGCATGCACACACATTCACCTACAATTCCTATTGTTTCCATATTTGTCAGGTTCAACATGAAAAAGCAAACGCATTCTAATGAACGGAACAAAAAGTTAACAGTAAGAACAGAAAATGGGGGAAGTGAGAAGAACTGAAGTCTTCTGCAATTTTGTGATACAGAAGCTGAAACCACAGTCAAGAAGCTTCTTCTACCATCCCAGTACCTCTCATTGGTAAACCTCCACCTGAGGACATTAAGAGTGGGTAAGTGGTTGCACTATTTGCCCATTTGGGTAATCAAGTCTCGTCCCCAGAGCTATCAACTGCCAAATAAAAAATAATAATAATAAAACAAAACTGAAACTTCTTCTGACTTCACAAACTTTCCTTTTGATTCCTCAAGCTTTTGGTTCGGAATTGCCCAGCCTCCACCTTCAAAAAGCCTTGAGATGAGCAACATAAAGCCAAACTAAGCTGCC